TTTGTATCCCGGGTGTGGCTCGCGTTTGAGGCCTACGGAGGAAGGTCTCTTGCTTGAGCCGAGACCATTGCTGGAACTTCTAGCATCAACCTGGGATTTAAGGGCGATCGTTACCCTGCCCATAGTTGCTACAGCAATTTCGACTGGATTCATAAAACCGGTGACCCTGGTTTCTTATACCATCGTGCCATGGGCCAGATCTGGGGTTTACTCGCTTTGGAGTTATGCAGTCGACCCGTCTTCCCGTTTGACATGAATAGGTATTCCAAGGCCCTTTCGCAGTATGTCCTGGATTTGCACAAATACGCCAAAAAGATATCCGTACCCCTGAAACCGCTCAAAAGTCAAAATAAAAACGACGAAAATAAACCTGACAATGGCGCTGTTGACTTGCAGCCTCTATATGACGCAACCAACTCACTTAATACCGAAGTTGCCAAATTTCATCAATGGGAAGGGAATTGGAATGCCACTATATACGACCAGAACGGATTTGAAGACGATGTCTCGGCTATCAGGCGCATGGCTCACAACACCCACATGGGCTACTTTGAAACAAACCTGCTAGATCTAGATGAAGGTGGAGGTGTAAGTTTTCTCCCCTACTCCTTGGCTTTTTAATATTCTTTCCTCCTTCTAACTTGATATCTCAGGTCCCTAACCGCACGCAATACAAGCACATGATATACTCCCCTCAACTATGGCCTGAGAACCCTGAGGAGGCAACTTACTTCCCTGCTATTAGAGACGCAATGGATTCAGGAGACTGGACCCAAACCCAGGTCTGGATCGATAAAGTCTCTAAAATTATCACCAACGCAGCTGTCAACTTGAACCAATAACTTCCTACCTCGCCTCCCTCTCTTTTATCTTCTCTATTTCTGTCATTATATATCCATTTCAACGAACGAAGCAATCATCTTCCAGGATCATCGTCAGGACGATTCACCAGAACAGCCTAATGCGCGGCACTCTACTTGTCGGCTTTTCTGATTTTATTTTTCCTATCCATACCTCGATCACGGCGTTTGTTATATTATACAGCATTTGGCATCCTGCTCGGTTTACCCCTTTCTTCATTTCCCTTGGCTCCTACTTTCCTTCTCCTTCTGAAATACTCGTATTATTATGACATTTAAGTTATTTTTATCCCCTTTTTCCCTCCTTACCCAGCGTGTACTTCATGACGCTACCAAGTACACATATTTCCTCTTGACTTTAAGTACTGTTTTTCTATACTGACTACTAGCGAAAGAACCCGTTATCCTCATTTCCTGGGGAACTGTCTTTACAGCGTTTCTTGCCTCGTTGAAACTTGATTGACGGAACAGTCTGTTCAAATCTTGGAACATACATAACATTACTTACATACCAAAGCTGTATATAATTTTATTATAAGGCATTTCAGTTATTAGACTTATTTGTCCAGCTGTATAACTCATTGTCTACGGTAAATTTTTAACAAGAGGTCAAATTTATGGAATCGAATCCATTGGCTCTATCTATAATTATTAGTCGAAATACACAAGCCATTCTATCCGACGAAAGAAAATCACCAATCCTTCGTCAAGAGTTAAAACCAGCTTCTTTTCAGGGGAAGGGAAGAGAAATGTATGTGAAGTCTCCGGGGAAGATTAAAATGCACAAAACAAGCAAGCAAAAGAGAAATTGGTTTACAATCTGCCACGAGAGATTAGAAACGCAGGAAAAAGCGTAGAGCGATAGTGAGCACGACGAATGGTGATAAACGTAGAAGGGGCGAAAAGAACGAGGCTATTAATTTCAGGCCGTGAGAACGTGATTATAGTTAGAGAGAGAGAGAGAGAGAGAGAGAGAGAGAGAGTAACTATAGAGATCAAGTGGACTATCCGAGACAACCGCAGATGCAAGCCATTGCGTGAAGCAGGCGTAGTCCTAGGAATTTGGATGACACTCCCCATTGCATATTTCAGCTAATGGGAAGTTTGCTCATGTCACCCTTTCCATCCTTAATCCATGCAGGGTCAATCAATCTCTCTCGTTCAGCGTATAACTGCTTATAAGCACCACGGATAGTGCCGTCACTGACATGGGCAACGCCGGAAATCTCCTTGGCCGACTTCCCATGGCCCATTAAGAAGGAAGCCATGTATATGGAAGCAGCGACGATGGAAAGTGGTGAGCGGCCGGCGAGATCGCCCATAGAAGTAACTCTGTCCGCGAGCAGGGACGAAACGTTCGTAACCTGGAAGGGCAGGTCAAGAAGGTTGCAGAATCGGTTGCAGAGATCACTTGGCTTAGTGGATGTAGTTCCAGTGTATGCGTCGTTGGGGTCAGGAACGCCTTATTGAAGCTATGTTAGTACATTGTGCGGTAATTAAAATGTCACGTAGAGAAACTTCATACCTCCACTTGAAACTACAGAGTTGATGCGTTCAAGGTTCTGAGCCGTGAAGAACTTCTCGAGAGCCTTGTAGATCCTGCCGATTTCCTTCTTTGAAACTCTTGTGACCGCGAAAATTTCTGTAAACGTCCGGGGAACCTTGCACTGCCGGCAGGCAATGAAGATGCAGCCGGCGATTATAACATCTTGGGATTTACCCTTGAATGCTTTCGCATCGTCAACGATTTTAAAGAGGTACTTCGCCGTATCTGCAACGTTCTTTTGAATGTTGAATCCATCACAAAGGGAGCCTATCTCCTTATAGGCCGCAAGCAGCGCCTTATTTGTCTTCTCAGTTGACATTTTGCTTTGTGCACGATGAAGCTCTCTGCTGCGAGCGCCGCCTGTACCGAACGAAATCTGCGTTTCGAGCTGGTTGCCATTAAGCAGAGGATTAGAAGCGTCACCAACTCGAGAAGGATCGTCATTATTCTGATCGTCATTTGAGAAGGTACGCCACTCTGAGTGAGGGTCTATTTCTCTATCAGCCAAAACGAGGCCACAGGAGCCACATATCGTTTCATGACTCTCTGGGACGAGATTAGGAGGATTCTCCTTGCACTCCGGACATATTAGACGTGCAGCTAGGTTCTCCTTCCACGGCGTCTGGGAGGCCTCCCCCCGAAGACCTGTTCCTACTGCCGCCATTTTATTTTTATGGACCTTCCCTTTTTGAGGCTTCAGGCGACTGGAGTGTCGACGCCTTATCTTGTTGTAGCTAACGGTAAGGTTATGCTGAGACGCGCACACACGGATAAAAAGCGGCGAATACAGTTTGGCGGTCTGCGCCGAACAGGAAGAGAAATGAGGCGGAGGGGAGATGCGAACAGAGGATCGCTGGGCCCTTGTCGGCACTCTTTCTTCTCCGGTTCAAGAGGATATGCGGATAACCACTGCCTCTTTTAAACCATGTTAGTTCCAAATATATAGAAAAAAAAAA